TGAGAGACGCAAAAAATTAAAGAGGTGACAACTTGAGGCTAAGCTTTTCTAACACCGTAATAACTACTGGGCAGAGGAGATTCAAACCACCATTAATGTACTGGTCACAAAGAAGTGGGTCCAGCCACAGCCTTTTCCCCTCTAATTTTGAACCAGTATCTTTGAGGAGGACCTGAACGTTGTGTGTTACTATGTGTGCATTTGGATCAATGGTATGTGAGTGTCTGGTGTCTTGTGTTGTACCCAGGCGGTCGTAGAAAAAGTAGAGGAGCACCAACATGCTGCAGCACATGACCACAAACACACAGATCATGATGGGGTGACATCCACGGTCTCCTCGTCCTGCTTCTCTGCGCCGTCGTCCCGTTTGTGCTTCATGTAGCGCCTGCAGGATGAGAACAGAAAAGTTGGCGTCTGGGATGTTGGGAGCATGTTCATAACTCTACAGCCCAGTGATCAGCACCTACAAAGTTTCATCATCCTGTGCCAGCTTCACAAAGCAGATAGTCTGGGGGAATGCAGTTTGCCAGCTCTCTTGAATTCGTTTCTTTGAACGGTTTCCACTGATGCTTTGTGACTTACCAAAGCAGCCAGGATGACCATCGGACCATCCACAGTCAATATTTACCATCACTTAGCTGCCTGGGTGATTCACTTCATTGCCAAGTTTCAAACACACAGACACACACACACACACACACTCGTATTCCAAAATGTTTTTCGCCTGTGGTCCTGTGCGTCAGAGACCCCGTCTGACTGTGCCCTCAATCACCTTGGCAACTCCATCAGTGAAGATAGACTCCGATTGGTTTGAGCAGATGAGTCACTCGTACGGCCTCAAATAAACAACACTGCCCTTTAGAGGAGTCGCAGGGGTACAATGCAGTTTGAAAAGAAGAGACATGCACACTGAGAGAAACACTGTACAAATGTACTTCGCCAAGGAAGCTATGACTAATTTTCCCCAGGGATGACTCTCCCAATAAATTAACTTTGATTTAAATTTAGCATTCAGGACTAAGAGCATGGCATGTGCAGGCAGAGGGAACTCTGTGTCCTGTCATAAAGTGCTCTAATGAGTTGTGGAGAAGAAAATATGGAGCTAAAAACTATTATGCAACGTACATAAAATGAAAAACAGATATGAAGCAATTATCATGATTTATATCCCTTAAAAGACAGATCTTTATCTACCTGAACCTATTTTTATATCACTGATTAGGACCGGATTTGGATGGATCAAGAAATTCTTTATATTTCTTTATTTGAAAATAAAACACTGACATTAAGTTCAGTTAAGCTCCAGGTTTATCACTAACTATATTGTAGATACATGCAGATTAGATAGAGTCAGCTCCCCACTCTGTCCATCCATCGTGTCCACTTACTTCTTACAGTCTCTGCTGCCGGCCCAGTAGCCTCCAATAGCAACAGTTCCTACTGCCATCAGGAAGATGATCACCATGTTGTAGTCTAATACCGGCTCATTGGGTGCATACATGGCAACCAGTTGTCCTTTACCAAAGGTCTACAGAGTCAGAAACAGCATTATGTCAGGCAAGTCTACAGGCAGAGCTTTCACCAATCAGAGTTGTTTCCTCACCCTGAATAATATAAAATATTGTCAGTTTTACAATGTGAATTCATCAGTTATGGTTAAACATGTGTCACCTTGGCCTTCAACCACCGAAATTATATAATTTCTTCCTCGAGTCCAGTCAATGTTTGTGCCAATTTTAAAGAAGTTTGTTTAAGTTTAAAGAAGTGTCTGGCCCCGCCAGCTCCAAGTGCAGAGGCATAAAAACAGACACGGCGATCAGCATGGTGAGTGATTCATCCATCTCTCATCATCCGTCTCTCCTGACAGACAGGTATACTTCACTGTAGTTTCTGTGTCAACCAGCCAACCTCTCACCTTGCTTATGTCCAGCATGTCAGAGTAGCTGAGCAATGCTACAGGAATATAAATCTCCTCATACTGAGTCTTGTTTCCTGCTGGCGGTGTCTGCAGAGAAACACAAACAAAGAAACATTCATTTTTATTTTCTGAGCAACAAAAGTCATTCCAGTCTTGGTGCATAATGAGTAAAAGCAATGGCCTGAAAATGATTTTAAGTTATATTCAGGGTTACCAGTCTGTCCTTGCTGACAATGAGCAGGCCCTTGGCGCCATTAATCTGGGCCAGTCGGACCTTTTCATAGAAAGTGCAGTTGCCCCTCATCACCATAGGGATGCGATTTGGGAAGCCTCCCTCTGGGACTTCAGAGGGCGAGCACAGGACTGATGTTGTCAGGTCATAGATCTGGAGACGTGACTGCAAAACGAAATGGTTCACTGTGTTCAACAGCTGGAGGATTAACTTGAATGTCATTTCTTAACCAACTGGATATTATTGTTTATTTCAAAAACAAAAAAGCCTCTTGAATCAGTGGCAATGAGCTGGAGCATTCCTGTCATGCAGTTTAGTTCATGATAATCGATTTATGAAAATATTTCATCAGTTATTAGAGCTTTGCATTATAGACTTGAATAAAGCTTGTCTCAGAGAGTTGTTTTTTCCTAATGATAAAATTATATTCAAAAATAAAACCCTGTTGTAAATGTTTAACAACAGAGTTTCCTCTTGAGTGGATTACTGTAACTCATTACACCAAGTCAGTCAGAAAGACCTTAACATGTGCAGTTTGCTCAGAATCTGAAAAGGCACAGCGGCCTGTATGTGGACTCCTGAAATACACATCAATTAATTTATTTTGTGTGACTATATCACAATAATGTCTATGTGATCTAAATAATAATAAGAGGATTTAATGTTAATGAATTTGACATTACAGCTCTTGATGATCACAAGTGACTTACTGCCTTATTAAGGTCTTGAGGTAGACGTGCCCACTGTGAGTTGAAGAAGATGCAGTAATCCTTTCCCTTGCTCTTGCCCTGGTCACTGAAATGGGCCATGCCATATTCTCCCACCACCTGTCAACAACACACCATTGTTAGCGTCACCTCACAATCTTTGATTTGGATATTATACAGAAATGTCATTTCCAGCAGCACGTGAGCAGTCGTTGATGTTTCACCTGCAGCCAGCTAACAACGTTGATTTTGTAAAGGAAGTGTGGCTGGTTTATAGATTTATGTAACACGTCAATCATATCGGGAGAAAAGATCTCCAACTTATTCCATAATAGGGCTGCAATTGATGATTATTTTCATTATTGGCTAATCTGTTAACCTGCTTATTTACATGATTAGTCAACTAGTCTTTAAACCCATGGTAATCTCTTCGAATGCTTTGTTTTGTCTGGCAGTAGTTCAAAAACAGGAACCAGGTAGGTGCATTTTACATTTTGGCTCCAAAAATTACCTAAAACCACAACTTTATAGATTAGATTTTCTGTCTGTTGCTTGATTCATCAATTTATCAGAATAATTATTCCTGTTTTACAGACAAACATATAAAATTACAGACCAATGGAAATAATTAGCCAATTACACATATTAGGCAAAGTAATAGATATCAACATTATTGAAGTCCAACAACAACAACAAAAAAGTGAACTTTTAATTTAATGTACATACATTTCATCAATAACTTGTTGTCATTTTCCATAAATAATCCCCGATTCATGTTGTTTTCGCACTCTTCTGTTTGTTTTTTCATGTGGCCACAGATCTTCTATTACAGCCACTTGTAACATCACTTTGGCGTTTGAAGACAGGCTATAACAAGTGTTTTTTTTTCTAGGGGGCTTTACTTTGCGAACATCTAAATACAACTGTATGCTGTATATGGTGTTATTATTTCAATCAATATTAACAAAGGCCTATTCAAACCGGGACACCAGTAACTATCATTGAAATACTTTGAGAACACTTTCTATCTATAACAACAAAGAGGTGGTCCTATTCTGATGTTCAAATAAGAGAAGGCTGACTACCTGCCAAATATTAGCTATACAAAAGCTTAGTGGGTCAAAGTACAGTTGTACTGTACAGTTTCAATACCCAGAGACGTATTAATCAATTAAATATTTTAGCTTCGAAAAGTGAATGTAAGACGCGTTGTAATCTTCTTCTGTAGCCTTAAGTGAGCTGTTTGCTACCAGTCCTCGGTCCTGTCTGTAGTTTGACACTAAAACACGGTCTCTTATAACACTGTGGTGCCTCGGTGATGTGGTGAATCAGCGATAATCTCGCTTCGTTACTGGTGCATCTGAAGGTGAGTGATGTGTAGGTTTCAGGCCCACGGTGATGATCACCGCAAGCTAACTGTTATAGCATCCCAGCTACGACTCCGGAACACGGCTAGCAAAGAAAGAAAACTCTCCATTCTGTCAACCACTTTCATTGCCCTACATAAGCGCACTTATAAACAATTGTCGGCAAACTAAAGGCGGTCTCTCTCACCTTTTGGACGAGAAAAGCGGCCCAAATAAGTGTTTCAGGGACCCTCATGATGCTTAGCTCGTTGTTGTTTCCCCCATCAACCGCCGTTCTACAGCTCCGCGAGAGCCCAGCTGTTCCAACTGGACACGCCCATTTGGAAGACGGGAGTTTTTATTGGCTGTTATAGTGAGACGCGAGTGAGCACGCCTCCGATTGGTCAAAATCAAAGTCAGTCAAAATGATAACAAAATAAAAGTCTTGACATCGAAAGTTGGGAATATATTTAGCCTGTTCTAACAGTTACGTTTTTACGGGGGAAAATGGCACAAAAACAAAACAAAACAACATAACAACGTAACACAAAATATTATTAACGAACACGATATTGTAGATTATGATGGAATCCGCACAGAGTGTCTGCATCTTTACCAGCTGCAACTATTATTAATCAGAGACGACTGAAAATCTTTCTAGGACAGTTTGATGACAAAAACTTCAGAAGATGTTCAGGCCTCCCACCTGTTATGATCAACAATCTGCGTGTCCATATCTGCCACCAAATAACCGTTCACGTCACTGTCAATTTATCTGAAAGCACGAGTTGTAAGTTTTACTGGTGGTCTAGTGGTTAGGATTCAGTACTCTCCACGTCACGACTCGGGTTCGATTCCCGGTCAAGGAATATGTTTTGTACGTACGAACCATGGATCTAAGAACTGGATTCGGCACCGCCATGGATGTATTAAATGTACTGTAGCGCGATCACCGGCTGGCGGCTCAACCTCCATCCCTGCTTCCTGTATTACAGCGGTGAGAGTCTGCCTGTGGAACGTAACTTGTGGGCCGGCTGGGTCTGTGTCTGTCTGTTGGGTGCTGGCGGGGGCTGTGGGGTACCGCGACCCCCGGCCATCTGGCCAGGCCCCTTAGCTTCCTGGTCACAGCGAGCCGGACCGGCCGTGGTCCGCGGTGACAAAGCTATAGCCAGGCTAACCCAGCCCTCGGGCAGAGGCACTCAGCCGCGCATGCTCACACGCACCCATCTCAGCCAGGGGCAGCTGACCGCTCTAATACCTACGGGAGCCAGGGACGGGGGAGTCGGACCGGCCCGTGGTCGGCGGTGGCAAAACTATAGCCAAGCTGACCCAGCCCTCAGACACTCTGCCGCGCATGCTCACACACACCCATCTCAGCCAGGGGGCAGCATCCAGGGGCAGCTTCCAGGGGAAACTTCCCGTAGCTATTATCGCTGTAATAGCGACGCTAAGCCAGGGACGGGAGAACCGGACCGGCCCGTGGTCCGCGGTGGCAAAACTATAGCCAGGCCAACCCAGCCCTCAGACACTCTGCTGCGCATGCTCACACACACCCATCTCAGCCGGGGAGCTGACCGCTTTAATGGCTACGGAAGCCGGACCGGACCGTGGCAAAACCGTAGCCAGGCTAACCCAGGCCTCGGACAGGGACCCTCGGCCGCCCATGCTCAGTCACCCACACACACACTCCTATCCAGCCAGTGGGCAGCTGACCGCTGTGATAGCTGGACAACTAACTGTGCCAGGCTACGACAGCCCTCGGACATGGGGAAGCCCTCAGGCGCGCATGCGCAGTCACACACTCATATCAGCCCCCCTGACCGCTGCGATGTTTGGCTACGGGGATCCCTGGTCCGCGGTGGACAACTAACTGTGGCCAGGCTACGACAGCCCTCGGACATGGGGAAGCCCTCAGGCGCGCATGCGCAGTCACACACTCATATCAGCCCCCTGACCGCTGCGATGTTGGCTACGGGGATCCCTGGTCCGCGGTGGACAACTAACTGTGGCCAGGCTACGACAGCCCTCGGACATGGGGGAAGCCCTCAGGCGCGCATGCGCAGTCACACACTCATATCAGCCCCTGACCGCTGCGATGTTTGGCTACGGGGATCCCTGGTCCGCGGTGGACAACTAACTGTGGCCAGCTAAGACAGCCCTCGGACATGGGGGAAGCCCTCAGGCGCGCATGCGCAGTCACACACTCATATCAGCCCCCTGACCGCTGCGATGTTTGGCTACGGGGATCCCTGGTCCGCGGTGGAACAACTAACTGTGGCCAGGCTAAGACAGCCCTCGGACATGGGGAAGCCCTCAGGCGCGCATGCGCAGTCACACACTCATATCAGCCCCCTGACCGCTGCGATGTTTGGCTACGGGGATCCCTGGTCCGCGGTGGACAACTAACTGTGGCCAGGCTAAGACAGCCCTCGGACATGGGGGAAGCCCTCAGGCGCGCATGCGCAGTCACACACTCATATCAGCCCCCTGACCGCTGCGATGTTTGGCTACGGGGATCCTGGTCCGCGGTGGACAACTAACTGTGGCCAGGCTACGACAGCCCTCGGACATGGGGGAAGCCCTCAGGCGCGCATGCGCAGTCACACACACTCATAGCCCCCTGACCGCTGCGATGTTTGGCTACGGGGATCCCTGGTCCGCGGTGGACAACTAACTGTGGCCAGGCTACGACAGCCCTCGGACATGGGGGAAGCCCTCAGGCGCGCATGCGCAGTCACACACTCATATCAGCCCCCTGACCGCTGCGATGTTTGGCTACGGGGATCCCTGGTCCGCGGTGGACAACTAACTGTGGCCAGGCTAAGACAGCCCTCGGACATGGGGGAAGCCCTCAGGCGCGCATGCGCAGTCACACACTCATATCAGCCCCCTGACCGCTGCGATGTTTGGCTACGGGGATCCCTGGTCCGCGGTGGACAACTAACTGTGGCCAGGCTACGACAGCCCTCGGACATGGGGAAGCCCTCAGGCGCGCATGCGCAGTCACACACTCATATCAGCCCCCTGACCGCTGCGATGTTTGGCTACGGGGATCCCTGGTCCGCGGTGGACAACTAACTGTGGCCAGGCTAAGACAGCCCTCGGACATGGGGGAAGCCCTCAGGCGCGCATGCGCAGTCACACACTCATATCAGCCCCCTGACCGCTGCGATGTTTGGCTACGGGGATCCCTGGTCCGCGGTGGACAACTAACTGTGGCCAGGCTACGACAGCCCTCGGACATGGGGGAAGCCCTCAGGCGCGCATGCGCAGTCACACACTCATATCAGCCCCCTGACCGCTGCGATGTTTGGCTACGGGATCCCTGGTCCGCGGTGGACAACTAACTGTGGCCAGCTAAGACAGCCCTCGGACATGGGGGAAGCCCTCAGGCGCGCATGCGCAGTCACACACTCATATCAGCCCCCTGACCGCTGCGATGTTTGGCTACGGGGATCCCTGGTCCGCGTGGACAACTAACTGTGGCCAGGCTAAGACAGCCCTCGGACATGGGGGAAGCCCTCAGGCGCGCATGCGCAGTCACACACTCATATCAGCCCCCTGACCGCTGCGATGTTTGGCTACGGGGATCCCTGGTCCGCGGTGGACAACTAACTGTGGCCAGGCTACGACAGCCCTCGGACATGGGGGAAGCCCTCAGGCGCGCATGCGCAGTCACACACTCATATCACCCCCTGACCGCTGCGATGTTTGGCTACGGGGATCCCTGGTCCGCGGTGGACAACTAACTGTGGCCAGGCTAAGACAGCCCTCGGACATGGGGGAAGCCCTCAGGCGCGCATGCGCAGTCACACACTCATATCAGCCCCCTGACCGCTGCGATGTTTGGCTACGGGGATCCCTGGTCCGCGGTGGACAACTAACTGTGGCCAGGCTAAGACAGCCCTCGGACATGGGGGAAGCCCTCAGGCGCGCATGCGCAGTCACACACCATATCATATCAGCCCCCTGACCGCTGCGATGTTTGGCTACGGGGATCCCTGGTCCGCGGTGGACAACTAACTGGGCCAGGCTACGACAGCCCTCGGACATGGGGAAGCCCTCAGGCGCGCATGCGCATCACACACTCATATCAGCCCCCTGACCGCTGCGATGTTTGGCTACGGGGATCCCTGGTCCGCGGTGGACAACTAACTGTGGCCAGGCTAAGACAGCCCTCGGACATGGGGGAAGCCCTCAGGCGCGCATGCGCAGTCACACACTCATATCAGCCCCCTGACCGCTGCGATGTTTGGCTACGGGGATCCCTGGTCCGCGGTGGACAACTAACTGTGGCCAGGCTAAGACAGCCCTCGGACATGGGGGAAGCCCTCAGGCGCGCATGCGCAGTCACACACTCATATCAGCCCCCTGACCGCTGCGATGTTTGGCTACGGGGATCCCTGGTCCGCGGTGGACAACTAACTGTGGCCAGGCTACGACAGCCCTCGGACATGGGGAAGCCCTCAGGCGCGCATGCGCAGTCACACACTCATATCAGCCCCCTGACCGCTGCGATGTTTGGCTACGGGGATCCCTGGTCCGCGGTGGACAACTAACTGTGGCCAGGCTAAGACAGCCCTCGGACATGGGGGAAGCCCTCAGCGCGCATGCGCAGTCACACACTCATATCAGCCCCCTGACCGCTGCGATGTTTGGCTACGGGGATCCCTGGTCCGCGGTGGACAACTAACTGTGGCCAGGCTAAGACAGCCCTCGGACATGGGGGAAGCCCTCAGGCGCGCATGCGCAGTCACACACTCATATCAGCCCCCTGACCGCTGCGATGTTTGGCTACGGGGATCCCTGGTCCGCGGTGGACAACTAACTGTGGCCAGGCTACGACAGCCCTCGGACATGGGGGAAGCCCTCAGGCGCGCATGCGCAGTCACACACTCATATCAGCCCCCTGACCGCTGCGATGTTTGGCTACGGGGATCCCTGGTCCGCGGTGGACAACTAACTGTGGCCAGGCTAGACAGCCCTCGGACATGGGGAAGCCCTCAGGCGCGCATGCGCAGTCACACACTCATATCAGCCCCCTGACCGCTGCGATGTTGGCTACGGGGATCCCTGGTCCGCGGTGGACAACTAACTGTGGCCAGGCTACGACAGCCCTCGGACATGGGGAAGCCCTCAGGCGCGCATGCGCAGTCACACACTCATATCAGCCCCCTGACCGCTGCGATGTTTGGCTACGGGGATCCCTGGTCCGCGGTGGACAACTAACTGTGGCCAGGCTAAGACAGCCCTCGGACATGGGGGAACCCTCAGGCGCGCATGCGCAGTCACACACTCATATCAGCCCCCTGACCGCTGCGATGTTTGGCTACGGGGATCCCTGGTCCGCGGTGGACAACTAACTGTGGCCAGGCTAAGACAGCCCTCGACATGGGGGAAGCCCTCAGGCGCGCATGCGCAGTCACACACTCATATCAGCCCCCTGACCGCTGCGATGTTTGGCTACGGGGATCCCTGGTCCGCTGGTCCGGGGTGGACAACTAACTGTGGCCAGGCTACGACAGCCCTCGGACATGGGGGCCCTCAGGCGCGCATGCGCAGTCACACACTCATATCAGCCCCACCGCTGCGATGTTTGGCTACGGGGATCCCTGGTCCGCGGTGGACAACTAACTGTGGCAGGCTACGACAGCCCTCGGACATGGGGGAAGCCCTCAGGCGCGCATGCGCACACACACTCATATCAGCCCCCTGACCGCTGCGATGTTGGCTACGGGGATCCCTGGTCCGCGGTGGACAACTAACTGTGGCCAGGCTACGACAGCCCTCGGACATGGGGGAAGCCCTCAGGCGCGCATGCGCAGTCACACACTCATATCAGCCCCCTGACCGCTGCGATGTTTGGCTA